TTTTTATAAAAAGACGTGAAAAAAATAGAGATAACATATTAATTGTTGTGATTAAAAAAATAAAAATATGAACTAAAATAGGGGATGCCAAACCATCCCTAAATTTTATCTTTATCAAATCAATTATCAAGTTAGTTATTTTAATTTGAAGAAAATATCGTTTTGTCTTCTAAACTATCACGCGTTTTTTAATTTGACTTCCATACTTGATTAATTTCAATTTAATACTTGAACTTTTAAAAAATTGATCAATTTAACTCTTGCCGTCACATTCTGTCTACACTTGGACGAAATGTGATGAGCCGTCTCTTAAACTATCTTTTGGAAGGAATATAAGAGGGCTTTGTTTACAAAATAAGTTGGTGTGATGGACAGTTGAATTAGGGCTTTGTTGGGATCAAAATCGCTTTAAAGGTTTTCAAATTCCTTGTACAAAATCAAAATCAAAATTCATCATTGAACGAAGGGCACGAACTAGCATTAAATCATGGATTAGGTTCGAAGAGAGAATGATGGCAAGAGAAGGAATCGACCAACTGTTTATAGTCAAAAAAGTCAGTCAACTCCATCTCCAATGAGTTCAACTAGCACACCAAATAAGGGTCAAATGATGTGGAGAGGTAAGCTAGTCTACAAAGCTAGTGGCCTTAAAACAGCATCCATTGGACATAAAAAAAGGGAGAACTTGGAGATTGAATCCACTGCATGGAAGTAGGAAGCATCCACTACACAAAAGATTAAATTATTTATTTATTTTTGGATAAAAGAAGGAAGCATCCACATCACTTTGTCATTGGGGCTTTTTGCACATTTAATGGTTTTTTTTGTTTGGAATGGTTGCCCTGAACTTCTTAACTATGTAAAGGTAGTATTTTGGTTGTCACAAACAATTATGTGTTTTAAAAACTTGAATGACAAATTTATGAATGTTGGTTTTGTGCATGATGTTCTATTTTATAGATGTTGCTCTTGATTTGTATGTAAATTTAGCTTGTGTTGGTTTTGGTTGCTATTTGATGGATGGATGCCATTTCATACCAATTCAATAAGTATTGGATGAATGCAATTTGTCAGTGATGCTAATTGTGTGTTTTGAAGATTTCAATAAGCAATTATGAATGTAACACACAATGCCAATGATAGGTTTTTTATTCATTGGTTGCTATTTAATGAATGGATGCCATTTCAAGGGGCCATTCGAAGAGGCCACCAATTAGTTTTTTGACTTAATGCCGACACTGTTTTGTTTTTTTATATATTAAATGATACTGCTTTGTTTTTGTAAGGATAAACACAAATTATTTTTTAAGGGACAAACAAATGGTGTGATGCTCTATTTTTTTCCAAAGTACAACCTTAACACAAAATATGAAATTTTCATTCAAAATGCTTTCCTTATTACGTTTCATTCATAATATTTTCCCCCATTACATTTATTCATTCATAATAGTCCCTTCATTATATTCTTTCTTACACTACATTACAAACCACATTAATAAAATGATGTACCATGAGGCAGCCAAGCATATCTATAACTTTCTCTCTCTTTGATTCCTTGTCTGTAATCTTGCTTCTAGCTTATTGCCCTTCTTCAACAGCCCAAGGATGATTTGTACTGCCCGTGAGCACATAGGTGGGTCTACTCAAGTGAATTGCTTATAACCATTACTAGGACAATTGAGGAACCTCCTACCAGGATTTGTATCAGTCCATGAAATTTGTATCACCCTTCGTTTTCCACAGTAGATGCATCTCATGTCTTTTATGTCACTTGAGCTCCATCTTCATTCAGTTGAGCTCCATCTTCCTTGATTTCTTGACCTTCTATTCTTCATTCTCTCTCACCTACCGAAATCATGCTCTGTTTTTTTTTTTTTTTTTTTTTTGGAACTTGCCTGTGTTAAATAGCAAAAGGGAGAGGTTGAATATGGCGGGAAAGACTATTATATTCTCTCCAAAAGATAGTTTAGGGGGGTAACTCATCACATTCCATCCAATTGTAAATGGAATGTGACGGCAATGGTTAAATTGATTAATTTTTTGAAAGTTTAGGTATTAAATTGAAATTAATCAAAGTATGAGGGTCAAATTGAAAAACGCGTGATAGTTTGGGGTGTAAAATGATATTTCCTCTTTAATTTGATGGTTTTGACTTAATAAATGTAACTATCATTTTACTCTAGCTAAATATTAAAAATATAAAATATGTTAGAGATCCCAAAAGTTCTATCAAAACTTCTATTAAATGTCTCATTGAGTGTGAGACCTATATGAGACTATGTGGGTCCCACCCCCATGTGATATATTTGGTAGAAATTTTGATAGAATTTTTGAGATTTCTAACATTACTCTAAGAAGATGTTACTTTTTATATTTTGGAATTAATTAGGTTGAGTTTATAAAAAAATATTTTTAAATTAAAATGAATAAAATAATATTTAAATAGTATAGAAAAATAACAGAGAATTTGTTGAAGAATGTATTTAAAAAGATAAAAAATCAAAATAGAAAAAGAAATATTTAAGTTAGAATATTACAAAATTTTAACTAGTTTAATGTTGATTCTCTTGACTGTGAAATTCATAAATGTCATGTTAATTTTAGAAAGTGCAATGGGATTTGATAAGCAATCTCGTATGGGAAATTTAAATTTGCTAATCAAATCATATAAGACTAGAGATGAATTTTTATTTAAAAAAAAAAAAACTTTGGAAAAACAAAATATGGCAAAATTTACAGATACAGATTCTCCACTTTTATACAAATTTGCGAAAAATCCCAATGTTGTATAAACAGAAAGGGGCTCCAGACATGAATCGTAAGCAGAGGCCCAACACACACAGATCTACGAAATCAGAAGGATTTGAAAGAGTTACCTGAAGATCGGTGGTGTTTGAGAGGGTTCCGTCTATTGTTCGCCGCCGCCAACGTTAGGGCCCAACCGTCCGATTTGCCGACCTGTTCAGGAGTCGTCTTCGCCGCCGCAGATGCCTACTCCGGCCCGATCTCCTCCAAAAAACTTGGCTCAGATGTCGTCGCCGCTGGTAGCCACTAATCGCCTCCTTCCCTTCGTCTGTTAGGTTTTTGGTTGTGTTGTGCCTTCGGATTCATTCATCAGAGTTCCTCAATGATGATCTGATTTGTTTGAGGGTGTTTTCGTAATTTTACCCGGACAACGTTTCCTCTCCCACCCGTTGGAGAGGCTTTGTCGTGTAGTGGCTATTTCAGCCTTGTTTGTCGTCATCTGGCTAATTTAGCCTCAACCACGCTTCCCAAACATACGCTTTGAGTGTTTTGAGATTTGATTTTTTTTGAGTGATTCTTTGTTGGTTTATTTTCGTTTTTATTGAGTTTTTTTATAAAAGTTTTTGGATTTTACTCAATGAGATGAACTGGTTTTTTTGTTTTCGAAAAATGTTTAAAAAAGACAAAAAATAAAATAAAATAGTGGACTTATTATTATTATTTTTTGTATTCATCTACACAAAACTAACTGAAAAAGTAAAAAGTAAAAAGAAAAAAAACATTAAAAATAAAAAAGTATAAATAAAATACGACTTATTTAAAAAAATTTAAATTTCAATTATTGAGTTTTTTTTTCATTTTATTTATTTACTTACAATTAATTTTATTTTTTTAACCTTACAAATCAGTGTTATTTTTCTAAAATATAATTATTGTTTCACAAAAAAATTTAAAACTTTATTTATCAAAATATATAAAATTTATTATGAATCTATAATTATTTTTTAAAAATATCACTTATTTGTTATTGGAAAATAATTTTGTAAACACGTTGTTAGAAAGAATAATGTTATATATACTAATTGACATATTAATTAATGTACTAATAGATGATATGACATAATTTTAAAATTTTAAAAAATTTATAATTTATATAATAAATAAATTCATAACATATACAAATACATTAATTGATATATTACTGCCGTATTAAAAATATTTAATCCACAAACTGGGAATTCAGCTGTGTTATAGACTCTCAGGACTTCCACACCCCCCACACATTAAATGTGTGAGAAAGGGAGAAGGGAGAGGAAAAAAAAAAAAGGTATGGTCACAAATTAATTAAAAAGTGTGGGGAGGGGGTCTTATGCATTTTTTTTAGGAATTTGTGAATGAAAAATGTTACGGACTCACAATCGCCCACACCATTTGAGAGAGAGAGAGAGAGAGGATGTTTGTGAATGTAGATGGCTCTTTATTATTAAAAAAACAAAAGAAAAAAAAAAGAAAACAATGTAGTTAGAGATATTAAGATTTTGTTTGGTTGGTTTTTTAGAAAAAATTTTAGAATTTTTTTTTTCAAATAAATTTTTAAGAGTAATTAAATCAAATAATTTTTTTAAAAAAAATCTCAAAATTTTGTTTGGTTACTTACTTTTCAAAATTACTCTCTTTCTCATGCACATCAAATCAATTATTTTTTTTAAAACTATTTTTTCAAAACAATTTTTCAAAATTATTTCTGAAAAAAGACAAACCAAATAAGTTTTCGTATTTTTTATCTAAAAAACTACATTACAAACACAAACCGATCACATGTTTTATATGGGTGTGAAGTCTATAAAAATGTGAATGCCACATTCATGTGAGACATTCAACGACGGTATGGAGCATATAGGGACAGTTTGTTACCGCTTTTGAAGGTGATTATAATTTATTTCAATTTAAGAGTCTATATTAGATTATTTGCTACAATTATTATTTATAATTTGTTAGACAAAAATAATTTAAATAATATAAAAAAAAACTGATTTTTTGAAAATTTTATTTTTGATTGTCAATTTTAATTTAAAAAAAACCTTCACCAAGCATAGGCGACGTGGTGCAGTCGGAGCCACAAAAAAGTTGTTCGCAAATTTCGAGAAAGTCCAAGACAGCTAAGGGAGGGCAACACCGTAAATATGTAAACAATATGTGGCAATCCATGGAAGGCGCTGGGCTCTACTTTCCCTATATAGAGTCCTCACCATCAATGCCTTGTACACCATCCCTTTAAATCCACCCCCTCTTCGCTTTCCTTCAAAAATCGCACCACACCAGAAATCTATTTTCCAATTCCAATCTGTCTCCTCTTTCTTTCTCTCTCTCTCTCTGTTGCCCTCTCCAGGGTTCGCTTGGATTAGGCAAAGAAGAAATTACGGTTTGTTCCTTTTGTCGCGATTAGCAATATATTCTTGTATGTTTGGTTTCTCGGTTCTTGTTTGTTGTTTTGATTTCCGGGTTTGTTTTTGTTTTTTATGATGGTTGTTGTTTTGATTTGTAGGGTTGATTCATTGATTTATTGAAGGCTCGAAGGTTGCTAGATTTGTAACCATAAATATCTGTAAGTTTGATCGTTTCTACCATCTTTTTATGTTGAGATCCCTAGATTCTCAGTTTCATAATTATAATCTGTATGCATATTCTTGTTATTTGATTTATTTGTTTATATATATATATATATATATATAGCAATGGCTCAGTGTTATGTAGATATGTTTATGAAAGTTACTTTCTTGCGTTTTTCTTTTGTTTTATGTTTATGTTTTTGTTTTTGGGAGATTTGTTGTAGATTGGGTGCAACTTTTGTTTATCATTTAATTTTGAGGTGTGGAGTTTGGCTTGGATCTTGCGTTGTTAAAAACAAGTTTATTTTATTTTTTGGTAACTAATTGCTTTTGGATGATTTGAATATGTGGTGGTTTAATAAAAATCTTTGTTTAAAACAGAAAAAGATTGGATTGTGCATGTTCTTTTTTTTTTGTTTTGTTTAATTGGTTGTTCTTCGAAATAGTATGTGATGCAAGATTAATTGATGAAATTTCTATAATGCTTCTTGCTATTGCAGAAGAATAGTTAATGTGTGTTGTTGTTGTTTCTTCTTACACATTTACCTTTAGATCATGCATTTTTTTTTTATGTTCTTTTTTCAGTGACCCCTTGTTCTGTTTGGTTTTTCTTCATCTTTTGATGGAAGGGTTAATGTGTTATGTTACTGTGATAATAAACCCAAAAACCTGCCTTGCACCTTTCTTTGCACTAATTAAATTTGTTTCATATTCCTTTAATTTCATTATTTAGGTTATTTGCTGTCTTATTGTTGATGAGTATTTTGAGTGCATTGACACTTTGAAGTTTTGGTCCTGATTTTTCTTTTTGATGTCTTGTGCAGGAGGACTGGATGTTCTAATGGAGACTAAAGGTGGGAAGAAGAAGTCTAGCAGTAGTAAATCCTTATTTTATGAAGCTCCTCTAGGTTACAGCATTGAAGACCTTCGACCCCACGGTGGAATCAAGAAATTCAGATCTGCTGCTTACTCCAACGTGAGTTCGACTATAGCTGATGCAAAATAGTTCTTGAATCCTATTGTGTAAAATTCTAATATGTGATCTTGTTTTGCAGTGCGCTCGGAAGCCTTCCTGAGATTTTCTAAACTTGATATAAGCACCAACAGTGGACAATAACTTCAATATTTTGCTCTTGTTTTTATTTCTTTTCTCCTTGTCTCGTCTTCTACTTACCTCACTTTACAACAGCCAACAACATTTTTTTCCCCTTAAAGCAAGATGGCTTTGCCAGTTTCACCTATTGGATTTGAAGGATATGAAAAGAGACTCGAGATATCGTTCTTTGAGTCTAGTATCTTTGCTGACCCTAGAAGCAATGGCCTCCGCTCTCTATCCAAATCCCAATTGGATGAAATTTTAAACCCAGCTGAATGCACCATTGTCAGTTCATTGGCAAATGATGATGTCGATTCTTATGTTCTTTCTGAATCAAGCCTCTTTGTGTACTCGTACAAAATTATCATCAAAACTTGTGGGACTACCAAATTGCTTCTCTCAATTCCACCCATCCTCAAGTTTGCTGAAATGCTATCTCTTTCTGTGAGATCCGTGAGGTACACCCGCGGAAGCTTTATATTTCCTGGTGCTCAGCCATTTCCCCATCGCGACTTCTCTGAAGAAGTAGCTGTCCTTGATGGCTATTTTGGCAAGCTTGGTTCTGGAAGCAAGGCTTACGTGATGGGTAGTGATGATGAATCACGGAAATGGCACATTTACTCTGCTTCTGCTGAATCGACAAATCATTTGCGCCCTGTTTACACCCTAGAAATGTGCATGACCGGTTTGGACAGGAAGAAGGCATCTGTGTTTTACAAGACTTCTGCAAGCTCTGCTGCTGCGATGACTGATCTCTCTGGTATTAGGATGATTCTTCCGGATTCTGATATATGTGACTTTGAATTCGATCCTTGTGGTTACTCCATGAATGCCATTGAAGGGAGTGCAATTTCTACTATTCATGTGACACCAGAAGATGGGTTCAGTTACGCTAGTTTTGAAGCAGTGGGATATGATTTTAAATCGATGAACTTGACCCACCTGCTGGAGAGGGTGTTGGCTTGCTTCCAGCCAAGCGAGTTCTCTATCGCGTTGCATTCTGATGCTGTCGCTAACAAACTTAGTTCCGATACGAGTCTGGATGTGCAGGGATACTACTGTGGAGAAAGGAGCTTTGAAGTGCTCGGCAAGGAGGGAGGTTCTGTTGTATACCACAACTTCATGAAGGCCGGTGGATGTGGGTCTCCTAGGTCGATTCTGCATTGCTGTTGGAGTGAGAGTGACGAAGACGAGAAGAAGTAAGTAGAGAAGGATTATAATACTCTGGGCAAGATAATTTGGTTTTTTGTTCCATGTTTGCTTGTATGTCTCTTAATTTGTCTCTTTTAAAGAGTATCTAAGTGCAATAATCGCGATGATATCATCGCTTTATGAGTCAGTTGTTAGCAGTATTGTTTGGTGCTGCTAAATTTATATTCAATTGTCAGTTGGAATTTTTTTTTTTTTTTTAAAATCTGGTGCGGTCCTGGACCTGTAATTGGTTGTTTTTAAACTATCAATTTGTTTTTCTTAATGCGTGCTATATAATATTTTTTGGGTCGAGTCTTATGTTTTCTGTTGGTACTTGTATATTTCTTGGAAAACATCTGTCTCTCTCTCTTTCTAACATTGGTGATCAAAACAGCATTGTCAGCACAGTTGTAATGACCTCATTACAAGTAAAGGGGTCTATTAGTTTCATGGCCATGGCAATGGCAATTGCCATTGGCAATGGCAATGGCAATGGCAATGCCTTTAAACAGAAGTTGGAGAATCTTCAGCCCTTCATTTTTTTTATTACCAAAATATATAATTCATTTTAGAGAATCAAAATTTTTATTAATTATTTTTGAAAATACTTAATATATCCCCAAATTCAGATGAATTAACATTTAAATGAAAAAAATTATTGAAAGTTTAATAAAATATTTGATATTCTTTTATTTTTTAACATTAACATTTATAAAAAAAAATTTGTTGGAAATTTAATAAAATATTTATCTATCACTCATTTGATGAAAGCTTGATTTAATCCAAGTTTGATGAATGAAATTAGATCTCACGAAAAACTTGGTGAAGAATTAGAGAAGGCTATTAGCTGTATGAGATTGAGAGTTCTACTTTCAAATAAAGAAGGGCGAATTACATTAAGGTCATATTTGTTTAGCGGATTAGATTTCTACTTTCAAATAAAGAAGGACGAATTACATTAAGGTCATATTTGTTTAGCGGATTAGATTTGAATGGAATTATTAGTGAGAGAATTATTAGTAAAGAGATTATTAATGTAAGAATTATTAGTGAGGGGATTAAGTAAAAATGTGTTTGTTTTGATTAGGGGTGAGCAGCGGATATACCGATCCGCCAAAACCGACCGAACCGAACCGATCCGCCACATTTTGGACGGATGCGTGATGATGAGCGGACAAAAAAAAAAAATAATAATAATAATTTTTTTATGTAAAATAGATCCGATCCTCTCACTATTTTTTTAATTCTATTTAAAATTCACCCAAGCTAATTCCTCTAGCCAGTTGGAATAGCAATCTACCTCCACAAGAAAGCCACCAAACAAGTTGTAATGGGACTCACCTCCTTATTATTCCAATCTCACCCCCTAATCTCCTAAACAAACATGTCCCACCCCCTAATCTCCTAAACAAACATGACGTAAAAGTCTCTATAGTTTAGGGTTTGTGTCACTTTGATTCCTGACTTTTTAATTGTGACACATTTGATCTTAAATTTTGTATCTTGTTTCAAATAAAGACAATTGAATATATCATTGTTCAATTTTAAGGGTAAAGTTATTAATTTGATAAAATATAAACAAAATATTTTTGAATTTTTAAAAATTAGTTATACTAAAGATAAAGTTATGTAAAATTGATAAATTTTTTACACATTTATTTTATTTATCAAATTAATTTTTATTATGTGTTTTGATGATGATCATGTAATGTGGGTTGCAAGACTTTTAATGTGTAATCAATATATGAAATATTTTTAGTTTTGAATTTTTTGATTTAATGGATTGGTTTAATAATGATATCTTATATGATTATCATCTAAACACATAAAAAAATTAATTTGGTAAAAATAAATAATTTTATCATCGGTGCGCAGAAATAATTTTTAAAAATTAAAAAATATTTTTTAACATTTATTTTTATTAAATTAGTTTATATTTATCAAATTGATGACTTTACCCTTAAAATTGAATAATTATATATTCAATTATCCTTATTTGAAATAAGATTTAAAATTTATAATTAAATATGTCACAATTAAAAAATCAAAAACTAAAATGATACAAGCCCAAATATATAGAAACGTGTGATTTACCCAATAAAGAAACATGAACATAACAGAAGAGAGGTAAAACAAGAATGCACCACTACACCACTGCTTTTAGTAGCCCTTACCACTGTAGCCCTTTTTGGTTACCATTCTTTAGGTTGCTGCATTTCTGCTATGTAATTCCCAAATGCAACACTCCGGTTTCAAAATGCAGCACTAAGGCTCTTATCCATTAAAAACAAAGCACTTTATGGGCTGTTCAGTTAAAAAATACAGATTAATCATATGCTTCATGAATCCAAATGCATAATCGCCACCACAAATCCCTGTCTAACTTGCTGCATTCCGTAGCTTCATTGCATATTACTGACAATGTCATACCACTGGGCTGGGCTATAATAAGTAATTCAAAAACTTAAGCATCTTTGTAATTCACCTCAAACAGTACATGGCACATGTATCACAATAAATCGTAGTGCAATTGGTTTTTCTCATCTCTCCTACAAGCAAAAAAAGAGAGGAAAAGAAAGCAAGGTTTTCAATTGTTATGGCAATGGATCCTCCTCCCCCAAACATCAAATTCTAATAATCGAAAGAACAGGTGAGATGTTTTGGGCCATTGATCTTTCTTTGTAGCTTGTCTGCAGTATTCAGTAAGGCCGGAACTTTCTTGCAGCCTTCAATTGCTGTATCCGCTTTTTATCCTGCTTGAATTTGCTTTGAAACGTCATAATCTCTGCAAATCAAGTGCCAAGATAACAGCTGAAAAGAACAATAAACAAAGATATATAACAGTGCATTTGTCTTGGGTTATATACTCGCCAATAACTTGAAAATGATAGTTTTGAGTAAAAAAATACTTCAATGTTTAGCAATTTTCTATTGAAAAAGATTGAATCAGATTATAGCAAGGACATGCCAGAATGTAAGTTTATAACTTTACAATGTGTTACTTCAAACTTTTTAGAAATCATAAGTTTCACATAGATGTACAATGTCAACCATAGAGTCCTACAGAAGTGTCAATTCATTGGCAAAGCATTACAAAGAACTCAATTGGCAAAGCATTACAAAGAACTCAATATTTCCTGCTGTCTAAGCTAACAAAATCCAAAATTTTGTAGGCATCAATTAGACAAATTCATTACTTAAATTGAATGATGTATCTGAATTAGGCCCAGAGCTCAAATGTACTTGAAGTGTCAACAAAGAGGAATGAAAATGGAATGTAACAAATAAAGTTACGCAATTTAATGTATCACACGCTTAGGGCCAATTTTAAGGTGAAAGGCAGCTGTTAGAGAGCACGGTTGAACTATATCAATATAATAAAAAATTTTTTTTCTTTTTAAATTATCCATTTAAATGTACTATCAAGATATGCACCCAGAAAAGGAACAGGGAATAGAATTTTGTTTGTGAGAATCAACATGCCATTCCTCTGGGCCTCTCTTTTCTGGAACCGGTAGAAATCTAACCAAACATCTTTACTTTTCTTCTTGGCCATATATTTTCCAGAACAGCAGCATGGGCAACAGAACCCACAGTAATTCCACTTTCAGTACCTGTTGTCTTTTTCCAACCCTTGTGATGTACAACAACAGTCCATCCACCTTCGGCAGCAGGGGCTTCTCTTTCTTTTCTTGCCTGCAAGTGCCATAATAATAAATTGAATGAAATCACAGTTAGGCCAAACTGCAAAATTTATAGATGGAAATTGGACAAACAGATTTCCATAATGGTTGAGCGAGCGTTTATATGTGGTAAATCGGTTTATGTATACATCAGTATATCACTCAAAATTTAGTAACACATAAGATGTTTTTCACCATTATACATGCTGACATTCACATATGCTCAAAACACTGATCAGAGATGATTGGCATACATTAAGTACTTAAATATGTTTTTTTATATGTAAAACAATCGTGTTAAAAGAGCATCAAGGGATGCTACCCATGTACAGAAGCCAAAGACTCAACAAGGAACTCCAAAGAACATTGATGCATGTACAAATAAAAAACTATAGGGAAAACTTTACTTTACCCTCTTATGTTTTGGGCCAATGTTTTGGGCCAGGTACGGATTATCTCATGACATTTGAAAATCACCACATAATCTCATGTAATTTATAAACTAACACGCCCAGTTAATATTTCTGTTCAAGATAACAGAATGTGAGGGCCACGTGCCTCTGTGGAGAGTAAGTTAATTTTCAAGACGAAAATACCTTTTTACATCTTCAAATTTACCAAAAATGCCATTATTTTTCCCCTCTCTTTATTTCTATTGTTTCTCTCTCTACTCTAGCAACTAAATAATAGCACTCATATATATACATAGAAATTAAATAATTTCCATTAAAATCTATCTCAATGTCAATGGCAGCTCATCTCTTAACATATATGCATATATATATATATATACATATTTATGATTGAAGGATGGGATTGTAACCAAAATGAGTGCACCATATGTGTGTATATATGCAAACAGTGAGTTGGGATTTGTATCTATACTAAAGATTGTAACTTTTCATCTTTTTTTTTTTTTTTGTTGGTCTATTTAGATCTTTGGTTCTCATAAGAATAGGAGATTTTTGGTCTGTTTAGATCTCATATATACAGTGAGTTGGGATTTGTATATCTATACTAAAGATTATAACTTTTCATCTTTTTTTTTTTTTTGTTGGTCTATTTAGATCTTTGGTTCTCATAAGAATGAGAGATTTTTGGTCTATTTAGATCTCATATAAAGGGTGAGTTGGGATTTGTGTATCTATACTAAAGATAGTAACTTTTCTTTCTTTTTTTTTTTTTTTTGGGGGAGATATTTAGATATTTGGTTCTTATAAGAACGAGGGATTTTTGGTCTGTTTAGATCTCATATAAACAGTGAGTTGAGATTTTTGATCTGTTTATATATTTAATTTTATGGTGATGGGTTTGATTTCTTTGTTAAATTTTTGTTTATGGTTGGTGGGTTTGATTACCTTCTTACCCCCAATTGTTTGTCTCATTCATTGGCCATTGTTGCAAGTTCTGTTAAAAGGGAGGATGAAGTTGAAAAGAAGAAGAAAGAGAAAGGTGTAGAGAGAGAACCAATAAAAAAATGAAAGATTTTTTTTTAAAAAAAATAAAAATAACACAGATATATATATGGATAAAACATGAGCATACAAAGGTTTTTTTTTCAATCTAAGTTTTTTTCTTTTTCAATCTTCACTGTACATTTATATATATATATATATGTGTGTGTGTGTGTGTGTG